TGTTTATAATAATGTAAGAAACCAGGATTTACAACCAGATCTAACTCAAATATCACCATATTCTAATTAGAAGATGGTAACCCTCGAAACATCAAAATTGATGTTATTAATTATAATAGATCATAACTCCAAAACTAAAAACTGCGGAGAAAAGTAATTTGGAGATAAATTGTTTATAATAATGTAAAAAACATAGATCTGGTTTAGTCATAACAATATTTTAGCTAGAAAGCGTAATTTACCAAAATTTCAAAGATGCTGATTTTCACCATTAGTGAAGGTCATAATTCAAAAATAAAAAGAGGTAGAAAAAAATGTTGTGCATATAAATTGTTTATAATAATGTAAGAAAACGGAATTCACAACTAGATTTAACTCAGATATCTCCGTATTCTAATTAGAAGATGGTAACCCTCGAAATATCAAAATTGATGTTATTCGTTATAACAGATCATAACTCAAAAACTAAAAACTGCGGAGAAAAGTAGTTTAGAGATAAATTGTTTATAATAATGTAAAAAAACATAATTCATAAACAGATATGGTTCGGTCATAACAATATTTTAGCTAGAAAGCGTAATTTACCAAAATATCAAAGATGTTGATTTTCGTCATTAGTGAAGGTCATAATTCAAAAATAAAAAGATGTAGAAAAAAATATTGTGTATATAAATTGTTTATAATGATGCAAGAAAACAGAATTCACAACTAGATTTAACTCAGATATCTCCGTATTCTAATTTAAAGATGCTAACATTCGAAATATCAAAATTGATGTTATTCGTTATAATAATAGATCATAACTCAAAAACTAAAAACTGCGGAGAAAGTAGTTTGGAGATAAATTGTTTATAATAATTTAAATAAACAAAATTCACAAACAGATATGGTTCAGTCATAATAATATTTTAGCTAGAAAGCGTAATTTACCAAAATATCAAAGATGCTGATTTTCGCCACTAGTGAAGGTCATAATTCAAAAATAAAAAGATGTAGAAAAAAATATTGTGTATATAAATTGTTTATAATAATGTAAGAAAACAGAATTCACAACTAGATTTAACTCAGATATCTCCGTATTCTAATTAGAAGATGGTAACCCTCGAAACATCAAAATTGATGTTATTAATTATAATAGATCATAACTCAAAAACTAAAAACTGCGGAGAAAAGTAATTTGGAGATAAATTATTTATAATACTGTAAAAAAACAAAATTCATAAACAGATATGGTTCAGTCATAACAATATTTTAGTTAGAAGGCGTAATTTACCAAAACATCAAAGATGCTGATTTTCGCTACTAATGAAGGTCAGAATTCAAAAATTAAAATAGATAGAGAGAAAGATTGTACATATAAATTGTTTATAATAATGTAAAAAGACATAATTCATAAACAAATAGGATTTAGTTATTACAACATTTTCGTTAGAAGGCGTAAATTACCACATTATCAAATATATTGGTTTTTGTGTCTAATGAAAAAATAGAAAATATAATAAGAAAGAGTGAACGAAACTAAGATGCCACTATAAACTGTCGATATCATCATAACTTATAGATAAGTGGCTAAATGCACAGACAAATCAAGAAGTGGGGTCATAATGTGTATTGTGATTAAACTTAATAGCTTTGATACACAATTATGCAAAATTGAACATTATACACGTCTAAAATTATTCGTTATTTATGTATTAAATTTTGGCTAGCAGCGTATCTTTGTATTATTTACAAAGTTTGTGGACGTTCCTCTTTCTATGTTGATTCTATTTGGATAATATTTGGACTCAATAGTATAAGTCACTTAGTTGTGACTTATCAGTTTAGCAAAGATGAATAATATAGGCAGATCAAACTGTCAACACAAAATATATGGAATATTTTTTTGAAAACACCAAAATAAGTCACCACAATAGATGAACAGCGAATTTCGTTTCTAATGACGAATTTTGCAATTAGCAAGATTGAAACTGTGAGAACTTTGGTAAGTTTTTAGCGATCGTTCGCAATTATGTAAACATGACTCGCCGGTGGTTATCTGCGCAAGATGAAAAGAGCCGTTGTCGGTCAAGCATAATTAACATTGCCACCTTAATTAGTTTGCTCTCTCTAAACTTTAACTATATTCGTCTTTTCATCACTTCGACGGAAGAATCGTAAAAAGGAAAGAAAAAGAAAGGCGCATTTACTATTTCCTTTTTTAAAGAAGACGACCATTTCAGAAGAGAGTTACTTACTCTGGTAATAAATACCGAGCGTGTTTCTTACTCTTTCCGAAAGGATGTTTAATTTTTAAATTAACGCGTTTAAGAATTAGTGTGTTTTGAAAAGATTTTTTTTTAACTACGCCTACTACTTTATACCGTTTTGTTTCTTTTTGGAATGTTATAGACCGTTTTCTTTTTTTTATTACATCACACTCATTATGTAAGAAAATCATAAGAATTTTTTTATCAAAAAATTAAGTTGAATTCTTGTAAAAAATAAGAAAAAATAAAATAAAAAGGGCACCACGCGTGCGATAGTTAAAACCGGGGCCCCCCGAATAAAACGATTTAACCGTCGTTATTCGAAAATAGCCTCCTTGGCGATAAAACCGGTGCCTTTACGACCAGCGCACGTCACGTGACCGCCGAAAATTGTTTAATTGCCGCTGCGTAAAATTCAAATCGCGCCCGATTCATACCTCCTTAATTCCTAAATACGGTAAAGTGTAAAATTTCACGTGTAGACGACAACTTTTAGTTACAGTTAGCAACCGTTTTTCCCAATTTTTTTTATTACATCCAATCTCATTAAAAAAAATTTCCTAACCACTCAATTTCACCAATTTGATTCAATTAAAAAAATTATTACTAGTTGATTTTTACAAATTCGTAATCCTCGTTAAAAAATCTTTAAAACGAATCCAAACACGACTAGATTATCTTTAAAAACAACCGAGATACAACAATTTTTAATCTTACGATCGTCGATTGTTTTTATTTTATTTTTCAGATATATTTCGGCGATTTTTTGAGATAACCCCATCGTGTTTGGGCTCATTTTAAAGGATTTTCAATTTATTATACGATTTTTAGTGGAAAATATAAAATTTATTTATTGTAATCTTGAGATTTGAGATATTTACTTTCTACGAAAAAAAAAAAAATAAAAATTAATTAATTATTAATAGCAACTAACAATTATTTATGATGAGCGTAAACGCAATATATTTATCTTTAACAATACCCAAGATACAAACTTTTTAATAAGGCGATCGTTTTTTGTTAAATTTTTTTATTTATTATTAATCTTCATTAAAAATCCTTTGAAACGAGTCCAAACACGAATAGACTATCTTTAAAAACAACAGAGATATGATCGTTTCAAAATCGCGATGTTCACTTGTTTTTTAAATATATTTTCGTTCATAACTCCCTTATTTTTTGAGATAACCCCATCGTGTTTGGGCTCATTTTAAAGGATTTTCAATTTATTATCAGATTTTTTAATGGAAAATATAAAATTTATTTATTGTATCTTGAGATTTGAGATATTTACTTTCTACAAAAAATAAAATAAAATTAAAATTAATTAATTCTTAATAGCGACTAAAAATCATTTATGATGAGCGCAAACGCAATATATTTATCTTTAACCATACCCAAGATACAAACTTTTTAATAAGGCGATCGTTTTTTGTTAAATTTTTTTATTTATTATTAATCTTCATTAAAAATCCTTTGAAACGAGCCCAAACACGAATAGACTATCTTTAAAAACAACTGAGATATGATCGTTTCAAAATCGCGATGTTCACTTGTTTTTTAAATATATTTTCGTTCATAACTCCCTTATTTTTTGAGATAACCCCATCGTGTTTGGGCTCATTTTAAAGGATTTTCAATTTACTATCAGATTTTTTAATGGAAAATATAAAATTTATTTATTGTATCTTGAGATTTGAGATATTTACTTTCTACAAAAAATAAAATAAAATTAAAATTAATTAATTCTTAATAGCGACTAAAAATCATTTATGATGAGCGCAAACGCAATATATTTATCTTTAACCATACCCAAGATACAAACTTTTTAATAAGGCGATCGTTTTTTGTTAAATTTTTTTATTTATTATTAATCTTCATTAAAAATCCTTTGAAACGAGCCCAAACACGAATAGACTATCTTTAAAAACAACTGAGATATGATCGTTTCAAAATCGCGATGTTCACTTGTTTTTTAAATATATTTTCGTTCATAACTCCCTTATTTTTTGAGATAACCCCATCGTGTTTGGGCTCATTTTAAAGGATTTTCAATTTACTATCAGATTTTTTAATGGAAAATATAAAATTTATTTATTGTAATCTTGAGATTTGAGATATTTACTTTCTACGAAAAAAATAAATAAATAAAAATTAATTAATTCTTAATAGCGACTAACAATGATTTATGATGAGCGCAAACGCAATATATTTATCTTTAACCATACCTAAGATACAAACTTTTTAATAAGGCGATGGTATTTTGTTAAATTTTTTTTATTTATTATTAATCTTCATTAAAAATCCTTTGAAACGAGCCCAAACACAAATAGACTATCTCTAAAAACAACTGAGATATGATCGTTTCAAAATCGCGGTATTCACTTGTTTTTTAAGTATATTTTTGTTCATATCTCCCTCATTTTTTGAGATAACCCCATCGTGTTTGGACTCATTTTAAAGGATTTTTAATTTTTTATGCGAATTTAAAAAAATTAATTTGTTATCTTTTACTTCCGGTTTTAATTTTTATTTATATTAGAAAAAAATATGACGTTTTTAATTTTTCTTTTAAATTCTTTTTCTGAATGGAATAAAACGTCACTTTTATCATTGTAATTTAATACACTTAAGATAATTTAAGAAACACCTGCAGCTTTTACTACTTACATTACACATTTAAGTCATTCTTAAAATGTTTTTGTATATATTTTTTTCTCTTAATAAATTTGAATAAAAATTGAAACTTACTTTGTAGCTAATGGTACAAAACTCCAATCGTATCCTTGTAAAACCTTAGTGACAGCTTCATTAATTTCCGATGAATCCATTTGCGTTGATTGGCCGGCTCCATTTTCGTTAATATTTTGCGATAAATTAACTGCTTTTCCATTGTTACTTCCAACGACTGTCGACGACGAGGTCGCGGATGAATTCTGTCCACTTTCCGCGTTCATTCCCGATCAAAACGAACGACAACAATAGTTTATTGTTTAACTTCTTGATATCAAATACAAACAAAAAATCAACTTATAACCTTCTTTTAAACCACCTATTTCTTAAACTATCATTAATCTAGTTATCATAGAGTTTTAGTTTACAAAAAAAAAAAAAAAAATTTCTTTTATTATTGTGAAACTCGCGTCACGAAAGAGAGTAGAGTGCTTTTGGTATCGCGACGACGACCGACGACGACTTGATTTTGTTGAATGTCAGCGTGGGTGCGTTCTTGTTGAGGTCCTTTGGTGCTTGGTCTGAAAAAAGTTTGTCGTCTCTGTTGGAATTCAAGTTGTGGATCCAAGTTTAAACCAATCGTACGAGTTAGTCGTTGAATGGACGCCTTTGCTCATCGCGGATTGGTTCGTTGAGCCGCCACGAAACGACGGAGGAAGGAGTGCTACTGGCAATTTCAAATTGCGTCGCTAATTAGATCTAAACGAGGATACGTCAATTTTTCATTTTTATTCATAAAAAATTATTCAATTACGCTAACTTTAACAAAACGAAAAAAAAATTCTTCTTTAACTTCAAAAATATAAAAATAAATTTATTTTTAGCGTGAGTTATTAACTTTGGGCGAAAAAATGTTAAATATTCCAACTTAGGCGTTAAGATATTTTTCTTAAATTGTCAACCGTCGCTAACTTTGATAACTAACTTCTTATTATAGAATGCTCACCTTTGTGGAGTGAAAAATGACGAAATTCATCCATTCCTTTTTGGTGTAGAGCATAAAATTTTAAACACATTTTGTTAAATGTCTTATAAATGTCAAGTTAATAAAAATTAATTTTTTTTGAAACAATTATATAAAAAATGAAAAATCTTTTAAAATGGGTCCAAACAGGACCAATTTATTTTAAGAAATGCACGAGATACAATCAAAAATTAAAACCGGAAGTAAATAAAGAAATATTATTAAAGAATCGTATAAAAAATTAAAATTGCTTTAAAATGAGCCCAAACACGATGGGGTTATCTCAAAAAATAGCTGAGATATGTCAAAAAAATAAAATAAAACAAACGACGATCGCTATTTTTAAAATTGTCGTATTTCGGTTGTTTTTAAAGATAATCTGGTCGTGTTTGGACTCGTTTTAAAGGATTTTTAATGAAGATTAACAATATTTAAAATATTTTAACAAAAAACGATATCCTTATTAAAAAGTTTGTATCTTGGAGGTTTTTAAATATAAATATATTACGTGTGGGCTCGTTATAGATGACTTTTAGTCGGTATTAAAATTTATTAAGAATTTATTAATTTTTTGATTGAACATTTTTGCACAAAATAAAAATTGTTAGATACAATCAATTAATTTTAAGTTTTAGACTAAAAAATCTGGTAATAAATTGAAAATCCTTTAAAATGAGCCCAAACACGATGGAGTTATCTTAAAAAACAGTGGAGATATGTCAAAGAAATAAAATAAAAACAATTGACGATCGTTATATTATTAATAGTTGTATCTCGATTGTTTTTAAAGATAATGTAGTCGTGTTTGGACTCGTTTTAAAGGATTTTTAATGAAGATTAACAATATTTAAAATATTTTAACAAAAAACGATATCCTTATTAAAAAGTTTGTATCTTGGTGGTTTTTAAAGATAAATATATTATGTGTGGGCTCGTTATGGATGACTTTTAGTCGGTATTAAAATATATTAAGAATTTATTAATTTTTTTTATTGAAAATTTTTGTATAAAATAAAAATTATTAGATACAATCAATTAATTTTATGTTTTAGATTAAAAAATCTTATAATAAATTGAAAATCCTTTAAAATGAGCCCAAACACGATGGAGTTATCTCAAAAAACAGCGGAGATATGTCAAAGAAATAAAATAAAAACAATTGACGATCGTTATATTATTAATAGTTGTATCTCGATTGTTTTTAAAGATAATGTAGTCGTGTTTGGACTCGTTTTAAAGGATTTTTAATGAAGATTAACAATATTTAAAATATTTTAGCAAAAAACGATACCCTTATTAAAAAGATTGTATCTTTGTGGTTTTTAAAGATAAATATATTATGTGTGGGCTCGTTATAGATGACTTTTAGTCGGTATTAAAATTTATTAATTTTTTGATTGAAAATTTTTGCACAAAATAAAAATTGTTAGATACAATCAATTAATTTTATGTTTTAGACTAAAAAATCTGATAATAAATTGAAAATACTTTAAAATGAGCCCAAACACGATGGAGTTATCTCAAAAAACAGCGGAGATACGTCAAAAAATTTAATTAAAAACAATTGACGATCGTTATATTATTAATAGTTGTATCTTGATTGTTTTTAAAGGTAATGTAGTCGTGTTTGGACTCGTTTTAAAAGATTTTGTATATAGATTAATAATTTTTAAGAAATAAAAACCTTTAATAAAATATATATTTGTTATTTAGAAAAAATATTTTTTTAATTACAAAGTCATAACTTTTAACTATTCGAAATTAGGCGGTTGAGTATCTAAAGAAGAAGAAACATTAGCCGGATACGTGTTGGGGTTGGCCCGTAGGGGTCTTAAGATGAAAAAGGCCGCCACATGTGTCATATATGGACCATAACGTATCTCCACGACGCGTGTCCTTTACTTATTATCGCAAACGTTACGTCCTCTCGGTCTTCTTAGATGGTAAGTGTTGCACCTGATGCTCACGGAACGTTAATGATCTTCTAAATAGCGCAGAAGCAAGCGCGGTTAATGTCCCGATTAAGTTACTTACATTCCAAAATTGAAATTAATTAATTATTAAATAATACAACAAAATTTTGAGTTCAAAAATCTTCTATTATGTAGAAAATCCTTTAAAATAAAGCGAAATTATATTCTATTTTTTAATTTGGAGGAGTGTTTTCAAATTGAAGCGCCAAAATGAAGGGTATGCTATTCGTCAGTTTTAAGCAAAAATTACATTAGGAAATTTCGAGATATTGCCGGCCCCATAGAAATATTCGGGTTTAGTCGCACGTCTTTCAGTATGACTAAACCCGAATGATTCTAGGTCTAGGTAATGTGTTAGTTCCAGTGATAGTGCTAGTGTAAAACTAGAATTAACACAAGACTTAGAACTAGAATCATCCGGATTTAGCCGGAAGTCTCTCAAGACGGCTAAACCCGAATGATTCTAGTTCTACGTCTTGTGTTAGTTCTAGTTTTACACTAGCACTATCACTGGAGCTAATACAAGACCTAGAACTAGAATCATTCGGATTTAGCCGCACGTCTCTCAAGACGGCTAAACCCGAATGATTNTTATATTATTAATAGTTGTATCTCGATTGTTTTTAAAGATAATGTAGTCGTGTTTGGACTCGTTTTAAAGGATTTTTAATGAAGATTAACAATATTTAAAATATTTTAACAAAAAACGATATCTTTATTAAAAAGTTTGTATCTTGGTGGTTTTTAAAGATAAATATATTACGTGTGGGCTCCTTATAGATGACTTTTAGTCGGTATTAAAATTTATTAAGAATTTATTAATTTTTTTATTGAAAATTTAAGTACAAAATAAAAATTATTAGATACAATCAATTAATTTTATGTTTTAGATTAAAAAATATGATAATATATAACTATAATTAAACAATTAAACCAACTTTTTTGGTGTAATTGTTGGGTTTAATGGTTGGGTCAATTTAACAAAAATTTAATTAGAAACAATTGACGATCCTTATATTATTAATAGTTGTATCTCGATTGTTTTTAAAGATAATGTAGTCGTGTTTGGACTCGTTTTAAAGGATTTTTAATGAAGATTAACAATATTTAAAATATTTTAACAAAAAACGATATCCTTATTAAAAAGTTTGTA